TTGGCTTAAGTCTCATCATATCTTAAGCAATATGGTTACATTATAACATGTATTAGCTAACAAACTCTACGGAGTTTTTTGCTATTATATATGTAACTTAAGCTTATTCATATCTTAAGCGCAGTACTATGTTTATATCATATAGGTATATTAGCTATCAAAACTCTAAAAGAGTTTTTTGCTATTATATATTTGGCTTAAGTTTCATCATAATTTAAGCTTTATGGTTACATTATAACTTGTAAAAGCTAACAAACTCTCACGGAGTTTTGCTATTATATATGTAGCTTAAGTTTTCCTTCAAATCTTAAGCTCAATACTATGTTTATATCATATAAGTATATTAGCTAACAAACTCTACCGAAGTTTTGCTATTATATATGTAGCTTAAGGTTTCCTTCAAAGCTCAATACTATGTTTATATCATATAAGTATATTAGCTAACAAACTCTAATGGAGTTTTTGCTATTATATATGTAGCTTAAGGTTTCCTTCATAAACTCAATACTAGGTTTATATCATATAAGTATTTTAGCTAACAAACTCTAAAGGGTTTTTTGCTATTATACAATTAGCTTAAGTTTCATCATATCTTAAGCAGTATGGTTACATTATAAAATGTATTAGCTAACAAAACTCTACGGAGTTTTGCTATTATATATATAGCTTAAGTTTAATTATATCTTAAGCTCAGTACTATGGTTATAACATAAAAGTATATTAGTTAATAAACTCTAAGGAGTTTTTTTGCTATATACATTTAGCTTAAGTCTAATCTTATCTTAAGCTTAGTACTATGGTTACATTATTAATCTATAAGCTAATAAACTCTACAGAGTTTTGGCTATTATATATGTAGCTTAAGTTAATTATATCTTAAGCACAGTACTATACTCATATTGTAAAAATATATTAGCTAACAAACTCTACAGAGTTTTGCTATTATATATGTAGCTAAAGCTTATTCATATCTTAAGCTCAGCACTATGTCTATATCATATAAGTACATTAACTAACAAACTCTAAAAAGAGTTTTGCTTTATTATATAATTAGCTTAAGTTTAATCATATCTTAAGCTTAGTACTATGTTTATATTTTAAAGTAATTTAGCTAACAAACTCTAAGGAGTTTATACTAGCATATTAACAAGCTTAAGTCTATTAGTCTTAAGCATTGTATTAATGTTATATATACTTTATCATAATAAGTACATTGTAATAACCTTTATATGGCAGCTGATAAGTTAGCAGCAGGAATTCATCAGTTCAGTGCCTTTATGAAGTTCCCATAGGGTTATTACAATCATCACAGTTCAAATCACTAATTATTAAAATCCAAAGTATTATATATTCCCACCTCCAATCCGTAGGATTCTACAAGCAAAAGAGCATGAGTCAGGATAAGGAAAAATATGTAATTTTTTGAGTAAAATTGATATTTTATACTTATCCTGACTCATGAGGTCAGCCCTCCCATCCTCCCCAAATAACACTTTGGATTTCCCTGTAAATTCAAATGTTGGGCTCAGTATATGAGGAGAGAGTGAGGCACATGGGTAGAGGTGGCGCCCTCGTTCCCGCGCTTGTGGAAGGGAGGTAACTCGTGGTGTACTAATTAGTGATTTTACATTGAAGGGAACTTCAATTAGGGAGATACAAGTGTTCCACTATGTTCGCAAGAGGAAGGAGACAAGCAAAAGAGCATGAGTCAGGATAAGTATAAAATATCAATTTTACTCAAAAAATTACATTGTTCACACCATCAAAGACTAGATTACCTATATACCTACTTGTTCACACCTTCAAAGACTAGGTTACCTATATACGTACTTGTTCACACCTTCAATGACTAGGTTACCTATATACCTACTTGTTCACACCATCAAAGACTAGGTTACCGATATACCTACTTATTCTCACCATCAAAGACTAGGTTACCTGTATACGTATTTGTTCACACCATCAAAGACTAGATTACCTATATAAGTACTTGTTCACACCTTCAATGACTAGGTTACCTATATACGCATTCTGTTCACACCTTCAATGACTAGGTTACCTATATAATGCATTCTTGTTCACACCTTCAATGACTAGGTTACCTGTATAATTACTTGTTCACACCATCAAAGACTAGATTACCTATATAATGCACTTGTTCACACCTTCAATGACTAGGTTACCTGTATACCTACTTGTTCACACCTTCAATGACTAGGTTACCTGTATATGCATTGCTTGTTCACACCATCAAAGACTAGATTACCTATATAACGTACTTGTTCACACCTTCAATGACTAGGTTACCTGTATACCTACTTGTTCACACCTTCAATGACTAGGTTACCTGTATACGTACTTGTTCACACCATCAAAGACTAGATTACCTATATACGTACTTGTTCACACCTTCAATGACTAGGTTACCTATATACGTACTTGTTCACACCTTCAATGACTAGGTTACCTGTATACGTACTTGTTCACACCATCAAAGACTAGATTACCTATATACGTACTTGTTCACACCTTCAATGACTAGGTTACCTGTATACCTACTTGTTCACACCTTCAATGACTAGGTTACCTGTATGCGTACTTGTTCACACCATCAAAGACTAGATTACCTATATACGTACTTGTTCACACCTTCAATGACTAGGTTACCTGTATACCTACTTGTTCACACCTTCAATGACTAGGTTACCTGTATACGTACTTGTTCACACCATCAAAGACTAGATTACCTGTATACGTACTTGTTCACACCTTCAATGACTAGGTTACCTGTATATGTACTTGTTCACACCTTCAATGACTAGGTTACCTGTATAATGACTTGTTCACACCATCAAAGACTAGATTACCTATATACGTACTTGTTCACACCTTCAATGACTAGGTTACCTGTATACGTACTTGTTCACACCATCAAAGACTGGGTTACCTATATACCTACTTGTTCACACCTTCAATGACTAGGTTACCTGTATACATACTTGTTCTCACCATCAATGACTAGGTTACCTATATACGTACTTGTTCACACCTTCAATGACTAGGTTACCTGTATACCTACTTGTTCACACCTTCAATGACTAGGTTACCTGTATACCTACTTGTTCACACCATCAAAGACTAGATTACCTATATACGTACTTGTTCACACCTTCAATAACTAGGTTACCTGTATACGTACTTGTTCACACCATCAAAGACTAGGTTACCTGTATACTTGTTCACACCATCAAAGACTAGTTACACACCTTGTTCAATGACTAGGTTACCTGTATACCTACTTGTTCACACCTTCAATGACTAGGTTACCTGTATACCACTTGTTCACACCTTCAATGACTAGGTTACCTATGCCTTGTTCACACCTTCAATGACTGAATTACCTATATCGTACTTGTTCACACCTTCAATGACTAGGTTACCTGTATACCTACTTGTTCACACCTTCAATGACTAGGTTACCTGTATACGTACTTGTTCACACCATCAAAGACTAGATTACCTATATACCTACTTGTTCACACCTTCAATGACTAGGTTACCTGTATACGTACTTGTTCACACCTTCAATGACTAGGTTACCTGTATAATACTTGTTCACACCATCAAAGACTAGATTACCTATATACATACTTGTTCACACCTTCAATGACTAGGTTACACCTTCAATGACTAGGTTACCTGTATACGTACTTGTTCACACCATCAAAGACTAGGTTACCTATATACCTACTTGTTCACACCTTCAATGACTAGGTTACCTGTATACGTACTTGTTCACACCATCAATGACTAGGTTACCTATATACGTACTTGTTCACACCTTCAATGACTAGGTTACCTGTATACCTACTTGTTCACACCTTCAATGACTAGGTTACCTGTATACCTACTTGTTCACACCATCAAAGACTAGATTACCTATATAATGTACTTGTTCACACCTTCAATAACTAGGTTACCTATACGCACTGCTTGTTCACACCATCAAAGACTAGGTTACCTGTATACGCAGTGCTTGTTCACACCTTCAATGACTAGGTTACCTGTATACCTACTTGTTCACACCTTCAATGACTAGGTTACCTGTATACCTGCTTGTTCACACCTTCAATGACTAGGTTACCTATATAATGCACTTGTTCACACCTTCAATGACTAGGTTACCTGTATATGCTGTGTTCACACCTTCAATGACTAGGTTACCTGTATACATACTTGTTCACCCATCAAAGACTAGGTTACCTATATACCTACTTGTTCACACCTTCAATGACTAGGTTATACTGCTTGTTCACACCTTCAATGACTAGGTTACCTGTATACATGCTTGTTCACACCTTCAATGACTAGATTACCTATATACATACTTGTTCACACCTTCAATGACTAGGTTACCTGTATACCTACTTGTTCACACCTTCAATAACTAGGTTACCTGTATACGTACTTGTTCACACCATCAAAGACTAGATTACCTGTATACGTACTTGTTCACACCTTCAATGACTAGGTTACCTGTATACCTACTTGTTCACACCTTCAATGACTAGGTTACCTGTATACGTACTTGTTCACACCATCAAAGACTAGATTACCTATATACGTACTTGTTCACACCTTCAATGACTAGGTTACCTGTATACGTACTTGTTCACACCATCAAAGACTAGGTTACCTATATACGTACTTGTTCACACCTTCAATGACTAGGTTACCTGTATACGTACTTGTTCTCACCATCAATGACTAGGTTACCTATATACCTACTTGTTCACACCTTCAATGACTAGGTTACCTGTATACGTACTTGTTCTCACCATCAAAGACTAGATTACCTATATACCTACTTGTTCACACCTTCAAGACTAGGTTACCTGTATCAGCTTCTGCTTAAACCACCAACCACCAGACTACCTGTATATACACTTGCTGACACTGAACCACTGGATCACCTGTTCATTCACCTGTGTTTTGTTTAGGTACATCATGGGGGAGGAGGGGTACTGTCTGACGTCCCTCCAGACTGCTGTCAGCTACATCACATCTCCAGATGCAGCTTGTGTGTGATCTGACATCAACACACATTCCACTGACCTGATTCACTGGCTGCACTGTGATACTCCTGGACATCTTGTGCTGACGAGTGTGACGAAATTCACACGACCTACACTTGCTTTGAATTCTCAGTGAACAGATTTTTGTCAACAACAATAATGTATAGCTGTAGAGCCTCGAAGGATGGGGTCATAGCAATGTTTCTCATAATTATGAATACATAAGATCTGACAGCTTGTTCAGCAGGTATAAACTTCCAGTGACATCATACATACATTGTTTTACAGGGTTCTCTCCATTCTGACTGACTGACTGACTGAATTTGGTTTTACGCCGCTTTTAGCAATATTCCAGCAACATCACGACGGGGACACCAGAAATGGGCTTCAAACATTGTACCCATGTGGGGATTCGAACCCGGGTCTTCGGCGTGACAAACCAACGCTTTAACCATTAGGCTACCCCACCGCCCCCTCTCCATTCTCAAGTACTTAGACTCATAAATTGAAAGTGAGTAGTGATTTTGAATATACATAATTTTTACGTTTGTCTGTACTAAACTTCTTTGAGAGGCATTTAGATGTGGGAGCAGTAAAGAAGGATAACGTTATATAGATGAACAACTACTTTGTTACAGTGAGATTGATGTTATGGTGGAGGTTCTAACACCGTTGTCAAGCAAGTTCAGTCACTTGCTTCCTAACTGTGTCCGAACCTACACCGAAATAAAGCGTCACCTCACTTCCTAATGGGTAAATGAGTAAGTTGTTCATCTATATATTATATCCTTCCTTCCTTCTCTTTACTTTACCTGTTTTGATCGTTTTGTTTGTATTTTTCTTTTTAAAAGATTGTTTTAGGAACATGTCATTGAATCATGCCAAACAACATATATATTTAGTCATTATTTGTAGCCTGTTTCTTTGCATATTGGCTAAGAACATCTCTTTAACATTGTACGAACATTGTCATTCACATAGTGAATTGATATCTTCAGTGATAATCAAATTGCCATCATTCCACCGTTTGAACTTTGCTACTGTGTTGCCTGTTTTGAAACATGGAGTCGACATAAGAAGCTCTGTGATCACTTTATGGAAGGGGCCCACACATCCATCCTCAAATATTCAGCAGGCTTTTTTGAAAGACTAGTCAAGAGGACTAGTGGAAACCTTATTTGTAGAGAGTCTTGCTTGAGCAAGACAAAAATGTGAAAACTAAGGGTGCTTCTAAATGTTGTCTACAACAGTGCTGTAGTAATTTGTTATAGTGTATAAACTGTTGCAGGAACAGTGGCTTAAGGACCCTCATGTACTGTCAGAAAATTGTAATTTTTCCTTATCCTGACTCATGCTATATGCTTATCTCCCTTTTCTTTCGAACGGTACGTGGAAACTTGAATCCCTTTGCTCCCTGAAGCAAACATAAACTCACTCACCCAGTCGCGTTGCCTCCCTTTGCCTTTCCCGCCAATAGTGTCCCACGTGACCAGCACATTGGCATGCTCTTGTCACTCTCTCTCCTGAAGTAAGCCCGCACTCGAACCTACGGGGAGATCCGAAGTCCTGAGAGGGAACGGTTGATGCCCTGGAGTATCCATAGAAACGCCCTCTAGCATGAGTCAGGATAAGTATAACATATCAATTTTATCATAAAAATTATATTTTTACAACTTATCTTCACATCAAACTGCTTGGCCGTATCTCCACTTTATATGCAGTTAGCTGGTCTCCTCATGCATGGATGTTTATGAATTGTTTCGTATTGAGTGAGCGAGTTTAGTTTTATGCTGCCTTCAGCAATATTCCAGCAATATCATGGTGGGGACACCAGAAATGGGCTTCACACAACGTGCCCATGTAGGAAATCTAACTTCGACATGAGCAAATGCTTTAACCACTAGGCTACACCACTGCCCCATTTGGTATTGAACCACATCAATAAGTCATGTTACTTTAAATATATCACACCCTCTTGCCATGAATTAGATACTAGTAGTCCTTATATACAGGACTTTTATTTTGAAGTTTAAACTCACTCTTTGAAACACTTTGTTGAATGTTTTTCTTGAACATTGGCTAAAAATAGGAACAATTTGTCTTAAAGTTATAAATAGTCTTTTAAATATCTTCAAATATGGACAGAGTTTGATGTATTTTGTTACATACAGCTGTGACAAATGCTTATGCGTTGAGTCATATTTTTTTCTTTATACATAATTCATTTGTCAATATTTAGGATGTGAAGTACATGATTGTCATAATACAACTGAATGTATGTAAAGTTCATATAATCTATGTGCACTCACCATATATACATACATTCCTTCATTCATCAAGCTGTACAGGAATGTGCAAATGAATATAAAAATACTTGTAATATATAAGGTTTATATTTGCCCTTGTATTTGTGTGACTTCTTTTACAGATAACTGAATGGTAGTAGCATATTTACTTCTTTCATAACATATTTTCATGTATGTAGAGGCAATAAGTATTTTGAGTCCCATGACTGAATTCGGACCATGGACCTCCAGATGCAGGGTCAGATGCCTTGTCCTTGTGATGAAATGGGTTAACCCTGTCAAAGTTGACTAAACATGGATGTCATCTTTGGTATGATGCAACACGCTGCTACATGTGGTGCGAAGTTAATAATGCAGTCATTGACAAATGTCTTCCCAGTCTCATCTTTTGACCTTTGACTTTTCACCTTGTTTTTGACAGTTGGTTGTCTTAATATATGGGCTGGTATCCCTTTAGTATAATAAATGATTACAGAATTTTTGTGACGTTAGTACATTAGAGTATGGAACTGAAAAATGCAATAATTGTTATATTGAATAAAAAAGAGACAAAAGTGTAATAACACATCAAACTGTTAGCTTGAATCTGAGATATGGACAGTTCCCATCATGTGTTGTTCCTTTTCTGTGTTTAATAACCCAAGTCAGTGTCGTATTAAATATGACCACTTATTGGTCAGTGATTATGGCAGAAATGTTTGTGTTATATAATAATAATTATTGAAGTGATAATGTGAACAACTGACGGCCAGCTTTAGATAAAATACCTCTGACCTGGGCCCCATGTCAGCCTATTAATAATCAAAATAATTATGCTCACATCTGTTGACAGTAGTGTGACAAGACAAGATTGGGGTTCGAACATTTATGGGCCAGGGTCTCCAGGAAGAAAGCGTTCACAGCCCTACAACATGACATTCGTAAGCCTATGGTAACTACTATATGTCATGACACTATGAAGCAAAAAGAATGCTTTGTAGATTGGATCCCTGACCTGGTTATACTTGAGTTGACCTCAGTCTGGAAGGGAAGTTGTTAGAAGATATGAGGAAGTGCTTGACATTGTTTTGTTGTACCCTGTGTTGCTGGTAATGTTCTGCCAAATGTGATTGTTCATCTTCATCTCAAATAGATTTCTGACTAGCTATTCTCGAAAGTTTGTAGCCCTACGAACTTAAAGCCCATTCTAACACATTGGCTACGATCAAAGTTAAGAATTCTTAGAGCTACGAACGTTTCGAGAATAAGGGCCAAGGTTCTTTCATTGGCTCAATACATCATTAATGGACTAAAAATTATCTGTGATTATCTTCAGTATCATACATTCAACCCGTGTCTTTCATGTTTGTGTTTGCTTACATAATAAAGATCAGTTCAGCATCTGTTACCTGTTGTTTTTTTATTGATTAGGAATGAGCTACAGGTGTCTATGCAGATTTGCGTCTTTCATAAATTGAGATTTTTGGTTCAAAACCAGAACCGGCCATGATTGTTATCCCCTGACACTCGTTTAGCAGGATATAGTATTAGGCTCCGTCCGTACATACGTACGTACGAATTGGAATATCTTAAGAACTGTTAGATTCTTTTCATACTTGGTACCTAGGTTCATCACAGTATGCGAAAGGTCCCAGTCAAGTTTGGTGACCTTGACCTTCATTTCAAGGTCACAAAGGGACTTTAACGTTTTACCATTGTCTGCGAGATATTTCAAACAAACGTTCACTGGATTATCTTCATATTTGACTCCAAGCTTCATCTAGGGAAGGCGCAGGGCAAAGTTACTTTCACATAATTTTCAAGGTTTCAACAACACTTTGACGATTTCACATGTTAACCTGCATGGTAAGCTTGTCAGCGAGATATCAGATTCTCAAGAACCGTTCACCAGATTTTCTTCATATTTGACACCAAACTTCATATAGGGACGGCGCAGGGCCCATTCGATGGTGACCTACACGTTGGTGACCTACACGTAATTTTCAAGGTCACGACGACACTTTGAAGATTTTAATATGTTAAGATTGTCAGCAAGATATCTCAAGAACGGTTCACTGGATTTTCTTCAAAGAGTTTCAAGACTTATCTTGAATGTTTTCTTATAAGCAATTTCTTTATTACTATTTTTTTCTTTATTTCATACACCATGACATTCATGTCAAGGTCAAAGAAAATCAACTTAGTAACAACTGCTTGTTCTTGGTTTGGCAGCAAGGTTTTGTGGGTAGGTTTGGATTTCTCCAAAGACTTTCTTGTTATATTTCACTGACACCTCAAACTAAAATACACAGACTACCAAATGAAACCCATATGCTGGCTGATTGGTTGGATTGATGTTTAACACTGCACTCAGCAATATTACAGCCATATGGAAACTCCGATTGGGATAGGTGAATCGAAGTGGACATGGACTTCTGGCTGCTTTAAAGATTACTGCATGTGCTTAGTAATATGTATGTTGTATTGGTGTGTATACATGTGTGTTCGTGCGCGTGTGCTTTGGTCCTGACTTGTCGAAACCCTCTGAATAATTGGTCTAGCGGATAGAGTGCTTTCCAGGGAATAGGATAGGGCGTTCCTCTCCTTTTGTCCTACTGAAGACTTTGTAAGATGGTACGTGTTACTCTGCCTTGTGCTTCAGGGAAAAGCAGAGAATATCCAGTAGAATGTGTATTCTCAGTAAACTAGGACATGGTAACTGGGTTGGTTGAGTTGGGTTATTGTTTTACGCCGCACTCCGCAATATCCCAGCTATGTGGCGGCGGTCTGTAAATAATCCAGTCTAAACCAGACAATCCAGCATGTGTCAACCAAGTCGGCGAGCTTGATCCCGTCAGTCGCCTCCTACGACAAGCATGGGTTACTGAAGACCAATTCTAACCCGGATATTCACCGGTCCATTTTATCTGGGTTTCAGGCATGCATGCGAACACACAGGCTATATAACTGAATCAGTTTTGAACTGCATTAAATACTATTTCACTTCACTTTTCCCAG